GTTGTTATGAAGGAAAGGTACATTTTCTAAATTAATGTACCAAATTCTCTCTAGTCCCTGCCCCAAAGATGCCATCATTCTATCTCTGCATTTTAGTGCTTTGAGTTGTTTTTCTTTTTTCTAAAGAAGTGGTTCAAGTTAGATGAACGATGGATCTAACCCTTGGAATAAGGTTTGGAAGATGCCTGAAAAGATTTGAGGCTAAGAAATTGTTGGCATTGTTCGGGGAGAAAGATTAAATGACCTTGTCTGAATTAGCTTCTGACATATTTCCTTCTGGGTGTAGTTAAGTGGCTTTGTTTGAACCTGACTGGACATGTGTTATATATTATTATTACGAGTTTACTACCGATCTACCACTGCTGCTGCACAAGCTTCTAATTGTATAATGGCTATTATTGTTGAACCCAGTTGATGTTCTTAATGTGAATTTGCACTTACCATCTGCATATTGTTGTTTTGGACAGGTTAAGATGCAGTTCTTGTTGAAAGTGAGGTTTCATCACAAGAGATGAGGGTAGGTGATGGATGTTTATAACTTTATATGTACTTCGGTGAAGGTCTGATCTGTCAATGTTAAAAAAATTTGAAGTTTGCACCATTTTGGATTTTTGAATCAAGGTTGAGTCTTGATAAGATCTCGTCTTCGGGTTAGCTTGGAAATCTTTTAACTTGTGCTTACTATCCATGTGAATGCTTTTTGTAAAAAATGGAGAGCCAGTTGCGACTTTGCTCTTTTCTTGTAAGATTCCATTGTTTTTTCTCCCTACATGGTGGAATTAAATGGTAATGATCCTACCAGCTTATTCCCTAATTGCACATATGGAGTCTTCATTTGCAAACATAACCAAAATTTATACGCATTGTGTTTTATGGTGGAGCAAAACTGACAAGCACTGATTACTTCACTTTGAACAGCCTAGAGTTTCAACCTCATTTTGTTCCGCATTCAGCACTTGATCCCTAACTTGAGTAGTTTAAGTCAGTGTAATCTGAATTATCCTCCCATTGGAAACACCAAGAGCTGAAAATGAACTATTAGAGATAGCCAAAGGGTATGGTATAATCGATCATCAGTCTCCGCTCTGCGCCTGGATATAGAAATTTTTAGTTTGAATGCGCATGGATGACGCCATAACTTGACTACTTAAACTATAAATGCTGGTAACCTTGAGTGGCTAGAAATGATATGCATTGCTTTCCATATCAACACTAAGCTTGGTGCGGTGTGATTTGGTGGCAGAGGCTTAGCATTATGATCTACATCATCAACTTATAAGGTATTGTTCGTTGTGATTTGGATTTTATAATTTTATTTTACGAAAGTCGTCTCATAAACTAAAAGTGATATGAATATTTATTTTTTAAGATCAATTTTAATACAGAGCTGATACGAGATTGATGACTTTTTTAGAATCAAAAAACCTAACCAGCGAGGAAGAAGATGACGTCAGAACTATGACATTGGAATGTTCTTTTTCTTTTTGTTGCAAACTGTCATTTTTCTCTGTTAGTGAGTGACGATCCTTTGGTACACTTTGCTTTGCATGTTTATTTGAGGTAGCTATACGACTGTTCTTGAGCCAATGCGCCACGCCATTTTTGCTCTGTTTCCAGCTGTTTTGGCTTTACCCTTTTCAGGTCGATTCATAATTTTCCACGTTTGCTGATGGCTGATGCAAACATGTATTCAAGCTTGCCATTTCTGTTGGTATATGAATTGATCTGAAATATTGCAATGGATTGTTATTATACATTGGTTTTGATTGTCAATTTCAAAATAGTCATCATAATTAATGATCATTAATTTTTCCCATAATAAACGTGATCTTTTTATGTTTTCTAGAATATTATCCACAATTTAAAGTTTGTCTCAAACCCCTTTTTTCCGTGTTTTTGACATGCATAGGAAATTCAATATATATTCCTATAAATTAGGATTTACGAGTTTTAAAATGATAAGCTTGGGCCAATTATTGATGCTGGTTGATGATAATGAGAATTAATTTACAATAATTACAAATTAATAATGAAATTTTATGATTAACAATAAACTAACCTAATCGATGATCTTAAATAGTTATTAAGTGATAAGAATCTATATATAAATGAATCATGGATGGTAATTGGTAATTACCAATTAATCAAGTTTAAAAGTATTAGCAATTTGGTCCAATTTTGGATGGCTCAAACTTCATTTTAATTGAACTATGAAATTATTTTTAATACAAATAGAGAATGGAAACTCAAGTTCAGATTTGTTGATTTATATAATCATTTCTAAAAATAATATAAGATTCTTAACATCTATAATATTTTTCTTTAGTCTCTTACTTCCATCTCCTTTATAAAAGTTGTAGAGAGGGAGAGTGAAAGTGCATTGGAGACAAGAAACATAGCTTCAACAGACCGTTCCGACCATGGGGTACAAGATATGTTACAATGTTAAAAGGGGTTTTGTAGTTAGCAGGGAATGCCAAAGAGAATTGTTATGCTCAATTAGTTAGCAAAGTTAACTCTCATATTTGTCGACTATAAAGAATTTGATTTTTTATTCATGAGAATGGGTATTATATTATTATAATAAAAATAAAGATAAGTATGATTTTAAAATTTTTATCAAGTATAAGATGTAAATGGATAATATAATATTTATCCCGTAATTGTATCTATACTTTATATATATAGATATTTAGTAAATAGATTATTTCTTAAATAATATAAAATTATTATTTTATATTAATTAAAACTAATATATTTTTATTTAAAATATATATTAATATATTTTATAAAGAAATTATATAAATATGTAAGATATAAATAAAAAAGTTAAAAAAATAATTTTTGATTTTTATTTTTTTAAAAAAATTATGGATATAACAATGATTCATATCCATTTAACACTCTTAAAAATGAGAATGACCATAAATTTAAAATACTTGTAGAGTATGAATATGGGGATATTTTACTCACCTCATTCTCTACCATTAACATTTTTAGATACCGTCGTACAATCCTTATATAAATTAAACAGATGGTTCAAACATATTTACAAATAACCTACTAGGTACTTCACCTTTAAGTTTCATATGCACCATCTTTTTTAACCCTCGTATACTTATTTGACTTGATCATTTCAGTGCATTTCGGGGCACAAACTTTGATGTCCCTTAACCATATTTTCTTACTACAAATTAATATTAATCTAGCTTACCTTTCATATAACCAACCCCCTCATTTCTACCAAAAACACCATCAACAATAATAATAAGGTAAAAAGTGAAAGTTTTGATGGCTCTGGTCGACAGATATGCTTCAATAAGGTCCATAATCACCAGACAAAAAGATCATAATAAATTGTGAAAATATTGCTGTCCAGAATAATGCCCTGCAAAATTATGCCCTGTTTGTTATAAATGTCTGCGAATTGCAGAGAAGATTTGTGCAGTAAACTCAAAAGCCTGCACGTTTTAACTGTTTGATTCTTAAAAATTTTGATTTTCCAAAGCCTAAAAAAAAAAAGTCTTTAGTTTCCCTTTGCACAGGGCTCTCGATCGGCAGCTTAACGCATATTCATTGTTAGGCTTTTGTCCTTCTACTTTCAGGAAAAATGATGGCTTCACTTTCACTTCCATGTAGGTTACCCTTGGCCTTGTCGCTAGATGCTACAATTATGTTGTGTCTCCTTGTTTGAAGATTTATAAAATATGAAAATAAAATATATTTTATTAAATTCATATATAAGATTTATCAAAATTTTAAATCTTATCACTTTCATATATTTTTTATATTTTTATATTATATAATATTTAAAATTATCATATAGTAAATTAAACTTTTTTAATAGTAGAAATTTTAAAGATTCTTTTGAGGCAGAGCAGTGTCTCCTTTTTACTTATCTCCTTTGCTTTACCTTGCCTCAAAGTAGAAAGGAGACATCCATACATCATTGTGGTGGCACCAAAAAAAGAAAATTGTAATTTTGACCCTCACTGTTGTGGTAGAAGCCTTTTTTTTTTTTTTTGGAGTTAACAAAAGAATTTCATTGGTTTCGACATGACAAATTTCATGGTTTTTTTTTTTTTTATAAATCATAACTTGTAGAGATAAATTTAAGACTTCACATATATCATTGCTTGCTAGGGATGGTGTTTTTAAAATTTCATGGTTTTTGTCTATAAATCATAACTTGCTAGGGATTCAACAAACGATCATGAGCTGTGATGTGCAACAATGAATCTTCAAAAATTTTGATAGGGATCAAGAAGAACATTTTTCCTCTACCCCACAACCACAATGTCATTATTCTCGTATTAAACAAATTGAATGTGAAACTCACTTTGAAGTTTAACTAAAAACTGCATATGGCTGAATTAAAATGATTAATCTTTGAAACATACAAATGCTGATACCTGATTTGTCTTCAAATAATGATAATACTATCAAAATTCTCTAACACAACAACGACATTAACCAAATGCACTAAACAAGTGTCGTAATTCACTTAAGTGGTTGTCGGTAGGCTTTTTATCGGCAGGTAGCAATAGGATCAGCGCTCGCAAAGCGACAAAGAGCAGCAGTTGCAAGGTGCGGCGATCGGCGGAAAAAAGAAAAACCACCACCAAAAATCAACCATGTTGTATTAAAAAAAGATTGAAATAAGAACTACAAGTTTCCATTAAAAATACAAACCACTATGCAAGCTTGGTCTAACTCATTAAAAAACAATCCCCATATTGCATAAACCATTAATAAATGTTCCCTTAGAACCCAACATTAAGGACTTCAATGTCCCCATTCACACTTCTTATAAGACTACCCCTTTTGTTGTGCCCCTTAAGGAACCCCACTCTCACCTAGCCAGCCAACCATCCCCTGATCCCCAAACCCCCATTTTTTTAGCACCATTTCCCAGTGTACTCGTGAGCCTTGAAAATTTTTAAGATTACAATTTTTGTTTTCTTTTCTCTCAAGGCCCTTTGTCTTTCTCTTTCTTTTGTTTCTTCCATGGCATCATCTGGCTCTTGCTCTGGCACTGGCACTGCCACAGGAACTGGCTCCCCATGTGGTGCATGCAAGTTTCTGAGACGAAAATGTGCTTCTGACTGTATTTTTGCGCCTTACTTTTGTTCAGAACAAGGGCCTGCAAGATTTGCAGCCATTCATAAAGTTTTTGGTGCTAGCAACGTGTCCAAATTATTGTTGCACATCCCAGCTCATGATCGTTGTGAGGCGGTTGTCACCATTGCTTATGAGGCTCAAGCAAGGATTAGAGATCCTGTTTATGGTTGTGTTGCTCATATTTTCGCCTTACAACAGCAGGTTAGTAGATTGCATATAGGCGCTAGAACAAATATGCCCATGCTCTAATTTGAACATGTCTATAAGTTTTTACTTGTCGGCTAAGATTCAATTTGGAGACACTAGAATTCTTAAGTTTTCCCATCTTATTTCCTAATTTTCACCAGTTTCTTTCATGGCTGATGAGTTATTGTAATGGCACAGCTGCTAAATAAAATCTGTATTTCAGATCTTATATTCAAGATTTTTGCCAACAGAGTTTCTTTTATTTTTGCTTGGCTTTAGCTTTCATTTTCCAATCGTCTTTGCATATTCTCTTATCTTGATTTCATAGGTAGCATGGCTGCAAGCTCAATTAATGCAAGTCAAAGCTCAATTAGCTCAAAATGTTATGAATTCACATAACATACAGAGTCAGTGGCAAGGAAACCTTCCTGGTGTCCCTTCCTTCCCAACTTATGCAAGCTACATGAATCCAATCTCCCCACAAAGCTCACTTGAATCTGTTGAACTCAACAGCGCTGATAGCATGAATATGCAAGAAGTACAAAGCAGAGAGGAGTTTTCTTTCCAAGGTTATCCTAAGAAGAGACCATATAACAGTGATTTGGGTGAGCTTCAAGCACTTGCCCTTAGAATGATGAGGAACTGAATTGAATCATCCTTTTGTTTTTTCTCTAAGGAGTATGATCCTGCTTCTGTTCTGATGGTGATCTTATTTTCTAAAGAATAATGGATATATACCGACACTGTTCCCAAGAAAAATTGTTTTTACTCGGTTTGTCGATTTTTAAATATGATCACTCAATCTAAAACTCTAACTTGAGGCTCTTGACGAAAAAACTTAGTTTAACTTTGATCAGCCTAATGTTGGGCATTTTTCTCTTTGTTCAATCAAAATTTTTATTGCAACTTGGAATTCAGTTCTATCTCTTCAACTCTTCACTCATACTGCTGTCTGCTGGTGCAATAAATTACTGGGGGTGGTTAATTCTTTTTATGATGATAAATTTGTCTGTTCTGGTAGCTGAAATGACAATTTATCCTGGAAACTTATAGTTTACTTGGGGGTGGTTAACTTTTACTAATTAATTTCTTTTGATAGTTTATTGTTTACTGAGCCACAATAATGGAGCAAACTTCATTTGACAATCTGATAAAAGGCATTGAAATTCGGGTTATCCTTAATTGATTACATTCTTCTTTCATACCTATCAAAACCAATGATAGATTAAACAAATATACATACAAATTTGAACCTTTCCCATGGAGGGATATTACATTTAAGAAAGCAATTCTTAGGGGGTTTCTAGATGACATTATAATTATATGTATACATAATATTATTATCAGCCTGAAGTCACACCATGCAGCAGGATCAATCTATTTCTTCCAAAACCAATATGATTGCCTCCAACTATTGTCATCATCGCTTAGTTTAATAAACATGAAAATAATTTTATAGCAGTCTTGCATTGATTTGTTTGTTTTAATATTTTAAATTCTCTTTAATTCAATTGATTCATACAAATTATCTTAAAAAATGACATTTAATAGATTCGAGATTCAATTTCTAAGCACAAGCCATTTTTCTATCCCAAGATTAGAACTTTATTTGTACCAAAAAAAAATCTAAAAATTAGAAATGCAGGGTAAAGAACAATGAAGCAGAAGTTCCCAAGGATTTCCAACAACCTTGAGGAAGTATCCTTGGGGCCTCTCTTCACCTAGGGTTTATGTTCTAATTAGTAGGTTTACCTAACATAAGTACTTCTTTCTAATTTAAATACCAATGCCTATGGCCTTGTATTCATATTTATAGACAAAATGTTCACTTGATTGAATGCACAAGGCTACAATATGAGCCAAGAGGCTTTGCCAACTTTTATCTAACCAATTAAGATAACTGTTTTCTTAGTTAAGCATATTGATCTTAGTTGAGAATATTATAATTAAATTAATTATTTAAGTTCGATATATCATTGAAACAAATAAATCCTCCTAAAAACGATTAATTAGTTCATATAGTCATTTTTTAAAAATGACATCTAATAAGTTTGAAATTCAAATTTCAATCCTTAAGACTTCTTTTCATATATATTCTTGAATTACAGCTTCTTTTATATAAAAAATATTCTCTTGTATTTTACAAATGTTATTTATCTCATAAAGAATATATAATCAAACTCAATTAATGGCCGAGTTAACCCTTATAGATAAAATATATTTATTATAGATGATCAAGACAACAGAATCTTGAATTAAATTCTTGGAGGGCTTGATGACCATAGACTCATAGAGTATAGACCAAATTATGGAGAAAAAGAAAAAAAAAATAGCAGATCTCATAGCCATTTTAGCTTGATATTCAAGTAATGAACTATCATTCTCTTTCATAATCAAGCTTTGCTTCTAGATATTCTTATTATTAACTAACCTCCAATCAACTAGAACAAAGCACCAACCCAGGGGATTGATCTTTATGCTTACAACCTGTTCAACATTGTGGACATTCCTGATTCATGTTTGCAAGCTCATCCACTAAATTTGTAAAATAAAATAAAACATGTAAACTATAAGTTGGCACAGAGATATTTGGCTTAATAAATTTGATAATCTTTGAGCACAGATTGTCGATTATATGGGTTAATATGGTTGCAGTGGCAAGTGGTGAAATCCTGGTTGGCAACTGCCACCATTGATGTCATAATTATGCTTATTGCCAGAGCACCAGGTCAAGAACCAAATTAAAACTAAAACTAAAAAGAGTGTGTATTTAATGTATTGTTGGTGTATATATGGTATACATTATCAATAAATCATATGATGATTTTTTATTAATAATAAAATTTTAAAAAATTAAATTTTTGTGCACCTATTTTAAAATCTCACAACAATTTATGTTTTGCTCCTTGATAAGATGGTATTGTATAATTTATTAATAATGTATAGAATTTAAATACTAACAATACTTCAAAAATAAACCCGTAAATAATTTTAGTCAATCTATCTAAACTTTATGATTAATCAAATGTCAAGTTCTTCGAGCCCATTACCCTTGTGTCATAAAAAACTTTATCAGCATTTAATTAATTAAAAAAACCCAGTCAAGAGGCAGAAATCACTTTCATAGTTTGTCTGTTCTTGCACTAGACAAATTGCAAAGGAAAAAAGAGATAAAAGAAGGGGAAAAAAAAGGAATATTAAGCTGTAGAATGCATTTGTTGGACTTCATTACTTGCTCTAGAAAAGCAATTATTCCAAAGACTACTAATAAAATTGGAGGCGAGTGATCATTAGTTGAATGTAGAACTGAACTTTTATTTATTATAGAACAGTTTAAATTATTACATATAAAATATGATTAAAAGAGTTGAAAAAATAAAAAGAGAGTATGGTCTGTTTATCACATCATCGTTCATGAAATATAAAAAATAAGATTGAATCAGACAAATAACCCATTTTTTACCAAGTCTCTCTCCTTTCTACCGTAACCTTATGCTCTCTCTTGCTTCCTTTGTCATGCACCTTATTAATTTAAGTGTCGAAACCTACCACAAAATATTACTTTCGATTCCTCTGACTTTCGGATGCAAGACAGTTTTTCATAACTTTCAGCAAAGCCCCTGATCACTAGATCAAGAATTGTATCAAGAAAATTTTTTATTTATTTAGAAAAAGGAGAATTTGAATAAGAATTTTTTTTTTTTTTTACTAATTTGAACATTACCAATTTGAATTTTTTTATGCACATGACATGGGACCGTCGTGTTGGTTTAAACTAGAAATTAATAAACACGAATTATTGTCTTATTTGGTGATTAAACAATTAGAAACAAAACAAAAGTAAAGAGAAGGATGGAAAGAAGCATGAAGTCTTCTCGGGGTTTGAATTTAATTAGTTTTAACACAACTATTGATTTTGCGGCACAAGTGTGTTTAATCCCAGCCGTTGAATTTAGGGTCCAGTAGTATAGATCATATCGACGGATAGTTTTCTCTTTACAAGCAGCTTTCACTCTTTCGTTTTGCTTTATATTTTCAACTTTTTCTTTCATTGTCCTACAAGTTTATTTTCACAAACATACCCATGATATAGAGACAAAACAAATTAGTCTTTGATTTGATATGAATTTATAGCTTGAAAATAATCAAAGAAAAAAAATTTATGTAGAGAAGATGTCAAAATTTTTTTAATAAAAAAATCCCAATTTTAAAATAAAATTACTTAAATTTAAATCTCAAACTTATTAATACTATTATATAAATAAATTGAATTAATATGTCAAGCTTCTTAATATTACACGCATAATTTTTAAATTGCAACTACTAATTTAGGAAGTAATCCACGCATTTACGAGTTAATTGGTTAGTAGAGGGGCAAATTGAATGGGCCGTACTTAAGTAATTATTATGTTTTGGTTGGGCCTCTTGGATTTAGGACTAGACAACAAAACCCAAAAGTGATAGTGGTTCTTGTGGATGAAATGCAATTGTCGGGGAAAATACTTCTTTCTTGGGTCTTCTCAGTATGAAAAGAATAACAGAAAGGGTGTTACTCATTATTAAAGGTGATACTAATTATTTATATGATCTGCTAATAATTATTATGATGTCATCTGTTAATGTTTATCATTATTGAGTAAGAAAGAATTGGCCAGCTCTAATTAATGCAAATTTGCAATTCAAAATCATTAATTTCATCATTATCAAAATTTTTCACAGTACTAACCTTCTTTGCTGCTATATATAATGATAGAAATTAAGGGAGTTTCAAGTAAACTATGGAAGAAAGAAAGAAAGAAAGAATCAAATAATTAAATTGCAGTGTCATTGCTTAATTTATTCCATATGACAAGTCAAAAAAATCTGCTTTGCACTGAAAAATGCTATGCAAACAATACTAATAGTGCAAATCCTCACAATTAACTCCATCACGTGTAAGAAAGCTAATATTATAATTAGTCACACGTCATAAGTAAGCTACGTTCTTAAATAAGCAATGGTGAAGAGATTGCCAATAACCATTGGTAAAATGCTACATTCTTAGTATTAATGATCAGGAATCAATATTTGATAATTTCAAGTATAGAAAAACGACAATGGTGAAGAGAGTATGATATTATAGCATACAGGACTAGCTAGAAGGTAAAATCAACTTTCATTTTTGTTGGGGGAGGGGGGGAATGTGTGTACTTGAGATTGTGAATTGTTTCATGAGAATCACCGAACATTGGGAAAACACAGGGAAATGAGAATTAAAAGGGAAACAACCTGGGGTGGATGAAGACCAAAGTTAGGTAATTCCATAAATAATCTAAATTTCTATTGGGATCATAATCATGTTTATTTTAAAGAAAAAGGTACCTCCTTATGTTTATTCTCCAAACACATTACATGATTTCAGATCTTTAAATCTTTAAAAAAATTTGTTTGTCTCTTCAGCTATATATTACTCTTGAAAAAAAAAAAAAAAAAAAAACAAAACGAACAAACAAAGAGAGGGGGGGAGAGTGTTTCCTACCATGATTATACCAGAGTCAAGCTGCATAAGAAGCCAAGTAATTGCACCATTTATGTTTAGCTTCAACAAAAGAACTACCTATATATATCTGCACCTCAGTCATTTTCTAGCAAATAAACAGAGTAAATAATTGAACTTTAGCTGAATCATACTGAGTAGGATAGTGAATTACTTGGATCAAATGCTTTAATCTTGAATCAATTCTGTCCTTTAATTAGAGCATTTGATAAAATTATTTTGAACCAACTAATATCAAGGTTTATAAAGGGGAAAGTGTGTAGAAAAAGGGACTAGGTAACTGTAATTTATTTAGTAAAAAATTGTAGAATTTAGGGTTTGTGATTGTATAAAAATTAATTTTTCTAGGGTTCCTAGCTTTTATTTATAGCAACAAAAGTGCATATATATGTTTCAAAATATGCAGCATTCAATTCAAAACTGGAAGGTCGATCGTTTCTTCACCGGTTTTATAAATCTCTTGTGCTGAAGATCATGGATCCCCTTCATCATGAATGTTGAGCATAGCCGAAGGCCATTGATTGAAGGTCATCAACATCCTGTAAAGTCCACTGTCTGTTGTTTGTTTGCATGTCAAAACAAGACATAGAATGAGGAGCCTGCCCAGAAGTTGTAAATGAGACATGATCTTCTCCTGAAGAGATGACTGAATTTTCATAATTCCCCAAAGAAGTTGGATCCAAAAACCCATTTTCACAATATGAACTTGCGCTGGGATTAAAATCTGGTGCTATGCTTGAATTATCTGGGTGAAACCAACTTTGAACATCCTGGAGCTGAGAAGGAAGCTTGCCATAGTATTTGTAATTAGGGTTTGTAGTAACAGAGCCATTAAAAGTGCTCTGGGCTGCTTGTTCTTTGAGAGAAGCAAGTTGTGCCTGTAGATTGACAACCTGTAGAAAATTGAAACAAGAAAGCAATGGTAGAATATTAATTTAGATCTCTGTTTAAACTCAAACTAGGGTTTCAAATCATCAATTTACTTAAACGGTAACGGGTCGTTACAAAACCTGCTGTTGAAGAGCAAAGATATGTGAAACACAGCCATAAATGGGGTCCTGAAGCCTAGCTTGAGCTTCATATGAGATTGTGACCGCAGCTTCACAGCGGTCACTGACAGGGAGATGAGATAGCAGCTTTGAGACATTGCTTGCACCAAAAACCTTGTGAATGGCTGCAAAATGGGTTGCACCTTGTTCATGACAGAAATAAGGTGCAAAAACACAGCCTCTAACACATTTTCTTCTCAAGAACTTGCAGGCACCACAAGGGGAACCAGAACCTGCCATCTTGATTCTTGATCTTCTGTCTTTTGGGTATTTTTAGTGGTTTTTTTTTTTTCTTTTTGGTTTATAGAGAGAGGTTTGAGCAAGCATTATCAACACCAAAAGGGCTTATAAACACCATAGGAAGAGGGGAGGTGGATCATTTAATAATCAATTCTTAATTACATTTGGTCCCCTTTTTGGGCTACACATTTCATTTTTTTCCCCCTTTTAAAACCCCTCTTGCAACCTTTCTTTCTAAATTTTTTATGCTCTCAAATGTGATTCCATTCCGTATCCTTATACGACAAGAAAACTATAGCATAAAACCAAGCCATTTCTATTTTGCTTCATCATTGGATTTATTCCTAATTTTATGCTTTATTTTCTTGGTTCTAATATATATGTGATTACTGCAACTACTTTCATTTTCTTTGATTGGATACACCAGATCTAATTAAGAATAAACAAAGATTTATATTGAAGGTACCCAACCTAATTTCCTTAAGTTTTGATTTTTTTTTTTTATCAAAAAGAAAAATCGCACATTACAATACTAGCAAATTCCCTTTCTTGATCTGATTTTTCTTAAGTTTTGGCTCCCTCTATATAAAAAATTATATATTGCACGTCACAATTATTGTAAGGGGAAAGGGAAAAACATACAGTTTTAAATAATTATTGCCATTTTTCCCTGAGCGATTTCAATTATTTTGTTTTCTTTTCAAATAATATGAGCTAATTAACGTAGACAACTGATTTATTAATTTGTCAAGCTATTGTTTCTTTCTGTGTCTTGACTTTTCCTTTCAGGCTGTATGGTGTTTTAACTTTTAAATGAGAGACACGTTGTACGAGCAGCTAATTTCATTATCGTGATAAAGATGGAATTGGCAATGGGCCGGTCAGAGATATGTATCTGCAATTAAATTGAGCATTGAAGATCATCGTTGACGTTCACATTTTCAACTCAAAAGACATTTGCTAGATGGAGGAAGATTCATGATTTTATAGCTTAAGATCACCTCTTATATGTAGAATTCATGACATTCTCTTCACCCAACTATGTAATGCTCTTATTATACTCTTTCATGCATAGGGAGAGAGACTCACTTTGATTCGGGCTATCTCGATTCTCTGATCTGGATTTATTTTGATTTTGATATCTCTCAGAAGGTTCCACATCAATTAAGAGTTGAATCTCCTTTAATATCATTTATCACTGGTTGATATTTCTAACCAAAAAAACATACGTTAGGTGAAGGAAGATTCATAATTTTATAGCCCAAAATCACCCCCTTGTCTTACTGATATGGGGTTCATAACATCATTATCTAACTTGTTTCTTGTTCATTGCGTGTATTATTATAACTTGGAGACCTTCATCTTCTCTTTTGAGCCTCCTTCAATTTCTTTATTTTTTTGGTAAAAAATCATAATTTAAAAATAAAAAATAATTATAAATATTAAAATTTAAATCTTAACTATGTTAAATGCAATTTTATTTTAAAGAAGATTGTAAATCAATGTAGAGAAGTCTTAATTTCTTTTTTTTTTTTAATTAACCTATCAAATAGGTTGAAAATTACTAGACAATAAATTAATGTTATTACACAACCAATGCACCTATATCTCAAATACAAATAGTACTACAATAAAAAATATACTTTGGTTTCGAATTTCGAAACTCTTCTTTTTTCTTCCTTTCATTCATAATTCATGGGGATAAAATTCCTTTTTAATAATACTTTTTAGTTATTATGGGCCTTCCTCAGGATTATCCTCTGAATCTACACCATAAAGTAGACTGTCAGCAACTCCTGACAGTCTCTGTCAGAAATATATAGGTCCTCAGGACCTCAACCTGATCTAAGCTCGTCTTGGGATTTAAATAGGGTTTTATTACTTGCACAAATCTTAAGAAAAAAGAACAGAAACAACGGCGATGGGAAGAAAAAGAATAGGGCAAATAAGAACCAATCAGTAGTATAATTGGCAGTTTAACTGAACCTGTGGATATCACTTTTTAATTATATGATCATTCCATTATTTCAGGTCTGAAATCTGCAGCATGTGTGGCTCATTATTAGTTAAATATGCCAATATCAGATCAGAAAGGTTCAGTCAGAGGTAGTTGATCAGATAAGCTGATAATCATATAATAAATTGTCAAATTGATTGGATCGAAATTAAAAATAGTGATCACAGTCATACCCCTTTCATCTACCCAAAAACGAAAAGTAATTCTTTTGGATACGAAATTGTCTAATTTTGGTTACTTGAAAGATTTTATTTGGTATGAGGTCCTTGCTCTACTGGTGGGACTCTGGATATGATTATAATCTATGGGGTTGAAAAAGTCGTCCTTGTCTTTCCTATAATCCCACCTGAAAGTGGGCTCAGTTTTTTTCTATGATCAGAAGAAATCCGAAGGTTAAAACCACCATACTCCATTTGCCTTTTTATTGATACCAAATATCCTAGTTTACGTGGTTAAATTTTGGAAATTTGACCTACTTATAATAAGCCAAATATTTGTATAAATTCAAAATTAATTAAAAAAAAGTGAAAAGTATACCCATGTATCAATTCATAGAGAAAAAAACATCTCACTTTTAATAATCAAATATTGCATTGTGATAAAATTATAATTAAGGATAACCTTTTTTTTTTTTAATTAGAACATTTTTGAAAGGATAAAACTATGAAGATAATTAAATTTTCAGATCTCCCAACAATATCTTATAACAAATGAATTTAATATATAATTTGTGTATTAACAATATTGATATGATACATCATATTTTGAAATAATTTTTTGTGCTTATAATTTATTTAATGATCAAAATAATTATTAATAAATAACAAAGTTCAATGTGGGTTTTATAGGGGCACAAACTAGTGTGATATGGGGCTCTTTTACCAAAGAAATTAAACAATGACTATATTATATATGTTAATAATGGTGATTAAGGGAAAATATATTGTAATTATTAGAAATTAAATGGTGGATTACTTGTTAATACTACAGATAATGAGAGTGCAAAAAGGAACCAAAAAAATGCAGAGACAGGGAGCATATATTCCAAAAAATAAATGAAACAACAGATAGTGACGCTGGAACTGGCGTCGACATGAGAGAGGGAGAGAGTGTTAAATTTTTTATTAGTTTTAAGTAACAGTAGGTCAGGGCTTGTCGAGCAATACAGATTTATCATCATTAACTAATCTTTGTATAATCATTAATCAACTTTCAATGACATTTCTACTGTCACACATAGCTAGGCAGGCACCTTTGCCCCCACCCTCTAACCTCAAATAATAATGCAGCCCCTTATTTTCTCTGTCGCAGCTCAGCCCTTGTTAATCAAACAGTACTTTGATCCAGTGATTTGACATTTATATCTCGATAAATGTGAAACTTAAACTCTATCACATAAACAAAGAAAAGATGTGATTGCAGAAATAGATTATAAAAAATATTGAAATTATTTCATCTCAAACACAAATTACAAATTTCAGAAAAAAATTTATGAATTTTTTTAAAATTTGTTAAATTTATAAGTTATTTATCAATAAAAAAATTATAAAAATTTTAATTTAAATATTTTATATCTAAATTTTAAACTTTAATTATTTAAATCAATTTTTATTGAAAAAAATTAAAATGCATAAGATAATGAAGTAGTAGGGATATTCATAATTTAATTTTAATTAAATTAATTAATTGAATCAATTTAATTTGATTAATCAATCGATTATTAAATTAATTTCGATATATTGACAAAAATTATTTTTTAAAAATTTTATTTTTTGATTAATTAAGTTCAAAAATTAAATTAGTTAAAATTTTAATTGAAATATAATATAATTCAAATCTAAAATAAAAAATATATAAAATATATAAAAAAATAATTTTTAAAATTTATTAGTTTAATTTAATTAATAAAAATAAATTAATTTAATTTTAAATAATTTAAGTTAAAATTAAGCAAATCAATCAATTGAACACCATTGACATCGACCTGATTGGCAGCCATTATCCCACCATTGGGAAAATGGCTTTCTAAGTCATGTGTACTTTGTTGGCCACTTAACCCATGAAAACACCGAAAAAAGGAGGAGTTATCTTTGGGAGACGACAAGAAGGCATTTTTTTTTTATTGATTTTACGGGGATTATAAAAAATTAATCACCTTTGGACAATAATGCAGGAGGGGTTCAACTAATCTCCAAAGGACCAATCCCCAAAACAAAACCAAATTACTTTTTAAAATTATTATATTAGGTAAATATCTTTGCCTAATATATTAAAAATTACGATTAATTAGCAACTGTTACATTTACTGCAAAAATATTATTATAAATAATATTTAACTAATATTAAAGAGTAAAATCTTTCAAACTTTTTGGATTCCAAGGAGGGTTTTAGTTTAATTCTTTCTAGAATTAGGCCTACCTGAATATTCATTTTCGATTGCAGCTTGCATTAATATAATTTGATGTATTATTAATATATAAATATTATATATTATTAATGAATTATATAATAATATTTTATTAAATTTATATATAAATCTCAATAAACAGGTATCTATGAGCATTGATTAAAAACAATTCAATTATTATTCAACAAAAAGTTTTTAACTTTAATACATTTTTTATTAAATTTAAAAGAAAATAATGCATTAAAATTTTATTTTTAAATATGATCTAATATTTATATATATATATATAATTAAGTATTTGATTTAATATATTCTTTAAAAATTTTAAATTTAAATCTCCTATTTTTCAAATTAAATAAAATTATTTTTATCATTTTTTTCTTTTAAATAAAGAGAGAAGTCTATCATTACAAATTTATGTTAAGCTAATAACAAGTTTGTCAAAAGCAATCTTGAGCTTGATGAAAATTTTGAGAAACGAGGCCGGTTCTTTCATGCTCTCTTTTCTCTCCTTTTACCTTTCATTTTCTACCTCAACATTTAGTTATAAGCATATTGTATGATTGCAAAAAATTAAAGAATTAATTACACAAGATGA